ACCCAAGCTTGAAATGAACGTTGCAGCTTCTTGAACGCCCGAGTCCTCATCTATGTTGTCTCATCTGCTCTGGGAAGAGTTGGAGCCGGCCTAATCTACACTTGCTCTGACCCCAGCCATGTCTTCACCCAACGGCATTAACGGAGCGCCTACTGCCTGTGAGACACCAGGACACAGGGCCAATACCACACCCTCCCCTGGGAGCAAGGCTTGCTATAAATGCAGGCAAGTATGCAAACGCTCCATAAAACTAACAAAAACAAGTTTCCTATCACTCTTCTGAAAAATGAAGACCGAGGGCCCCAGACCACTAAACCAAAGCTGGTGACCAAATGAAGAAACAGAGTGCCACTCCACCCAGAGGCACCATAGGAGCCCTGCCCATCTCCTACTGGGCTGGCCCCATGCCATGGACCCTGTTCAAGGGCAGCCACTCTACCTGACTGTGAACTTGGGACACTGTGAAGATGGAAATGCCCAGTAAGGGCATTTAGGCACCACTGGGGCCCCACCCAGCCCTTCTGGGCTGGCCTGTGCCATGGCCTCCACCCACAGAACGACCATTCCACCTGCCTGTGAACTTGGAAGCTGAAAAGACGGGAGATGCCCATTCAGTATGTGTAGGCTGCAGCAGCTAAAGCTGACTCAGCTTCCGTCAATATTCCCTTTTTTATTTTTTTGGGGGGGGTAGTTTACTCAAATTGGATGTAGTTTTTCCAGAAGCGGACAATGTGTCACTACACCCAGAGTTCGTGTGACACGACTTCTCTCTAAGCCATGGGGTCACCTCTGCCCACTTCGTTCAGCATCCACATCCTCATCCCTAAACCCAGAACCGTCGGGTAGCTTGAGAACTGGTGACTGAGTCCGCCATCCCATCACCCATGCGACCCCCAAGCCCTTCTCTGAGCAGCTCTGCCAGCCGGAGTTTCCCCCAAAAGGCCCCTCGGTTCCTAGGCTGTGAGCGGCTCCAAGCCCCTTCGCCTGGACAGAGGAAGGGACCCTGCAGCCAGGGCGCCAGCCAAGGGCAGCTGGGCTCTGAGCTCATCTCTGTGGGCCCATCGGGGTGGGTCTGAAGCCACAGGGTCCTGGGACAAGTCGTGCCATCCTCCCAGACTGGTAAGGCAGAGGCACAGAGAGGACTCAGGTGTGGGAGGAGGGGCCTCTCACCTGTGAGCTGCCTTTCCTCCCGCCCTGTGCTGTCTCCCTGAGTCCCCACTGGCTGCTGCTCCAAGCATCCCAGCACCCCAAGGCTGGTGCCAAGAAGGATGCCAGCTACCCCAGATTTCCGATCTGGTTTACCTGGGTGGGCCAAGGATCAGCACTGAACGTGGTGGGGCTGCCTCACTGCCCAGACACCACACCCAGCTCTTGGCCAGAGGCCTCCTACCTCCTCCGGGGCTCCATGTCTCATGTCCTCTCACACCCTGCCAGGCCAGAGCCTGGAGCTACAGTGTCCTGGTCAAGGTCGGAAATGAGTCTCCCACCCACACTGCACAGCATGTCCAAGCCCTGCCCCATTCATGAAAGAAGCATTTATTGAGTATCTACTGTGTGCCTGGTCTGGCCAGGCCCCAAGGATATGACTGCCATGCCAGGAAGCTAGAAGCTGGCCCTGAAGAACCTGCGCCCACCTCCCCGAGAGCTTTGGCCCACAGCTCTTAGTCATCTAGCGCTGCTATAGCAGAAATACCACAAGTGGATGGTTTTAACAAAGAGAAGTTGTGTGTAGTAGGCTACAAGTCCAAATTCAGGTTACCAGCTCCAGGTGAAGTCGTTCTCTATCGTCTCTGGAGAAGGGTCCTTATGATACATCAGTCTTCCCTTGGTCTGGGAGCCTCTCAGCACAGGAACCTCAGGTCCAAAGGATGCACTCTGCTCCTGGCACTGCTTTCTTGGTGGTACAATGTCCCCATGTGTCTCTGCTTGCTTCTCTCTTTTATATCTCAAAAGAGGTTGGCTTAAGACACTATCTAATCTTGAAGACCTCATCAGTATAACTGCCGAATATCCATCTTATTACATCATAGTGATAGAATTTACAACACACAGGGAAATCACATCAGATGATAAAATGGTAGCCAATCATACAATACTAGGAGTCATGACCTAGCCAAGTTGACAGATATTTTTTGGGGACACAATTCAATCTATGACAGCTCTGCTCTCTGCAGGTGGCATGTGGGACATCAAGGTCACCCTACATTACCTGTGGGAAGCAGGGGGAGAGGGAGTGGACTCTCCTTACAGTTTGCTAAGCTGGAGGGGGTAGCTGCCCTGGCCTTTTACTAGGCTGGAGGGGGGTGTTATGAATTGAATTGTGTCCCAAAAAAAATGTGTCAAGTTGGCTAGGCCATGATTCCCAGTATTGTGTGGTTGTCCACCATTTTGTGATCTGATGTGATTATCCTACGTGTTGTAAATCCTGCCTCTATGATGCTAATGGGAGCACTGGTGGTGCAGTGGTTAAGAGCTCAGGCTGCTAACCAAAATGTCAGCAGTTCAAATCCACCAGCCGCTCCTTGGAAACCCCGTGGGACAGTTCTACTCTACCCTATAGAGTCGCTATGAGTTGAAATCCACAAAGGGTTTGGTTTTGGTTTGGTTTATGATGGTAATGAGGCAGGATTAGAGGCAGTTATATTAAAGAGACAGGACTCAATCTACAAGATTAAGTGGTATCTTGAGTCAACCTCTTTGGAGATACAAAAGAAAGAATCGAGCAGAGAGGAGAGGGACCTCTTATCACCAAGAAAGAATAGCCAGGAGCAGAGTATGTCCTTTCGACCCTGGGTCCTTGAACTGAGAAGCTCCTACTCCAGGTGAAAAGTGATGACAAGGACCTTCCCCCAGAGATGACAGAGACAGAAAGCCTTCCCGTGGAGCTGGTGCCCTGAATTCGGACCTCTAGCCTCCTAAACTGTGGGAGAATAAATTTCTCTGTGTTAAAGCCACTCACTTGTGGTACAGCCCTCCCTCTGTATCCAGGGGGATTGGTTCCAAGACCTGCTCCTATACCGAAATCCACAGATGCTCAAGTCCCTTATATAAAATGGCGTAGTATTTGCATATAACCTATACACCTCCTCTCATATACTTTAAATCATCTCTGGATTACTTATAATACGCAATACAGTGCAAAGGCTATATAAGCAGTTGTTATACTGTATTGTTTAGGGAATAATGACAAGATGCGAGGTGAACAATGCTCAAACAACAAGTACTGGAGACAGACTGTGACATGGTGGGAGCTACTGCAGCGTATGCCTCCTTATCGCTTCATTCAGGTGGATTCTGCGTAGTGCTCTGCGAGGCAGATTCACGTTTTGCTTTTGGGAATTTTTTTTTTTTTTTTAATATTTTCAATCCGACGTTGGTTGAATTTACGCATACGGAAACTTCCAATACGGAGGGCCATCTGTACTTCTGTGATAGCAGCACTAGATATCTAAGATGGGGTAGCTGTCCTGGCCCTTTACTAGGCTGGGGAGGTAGCTGTCCTGGCCCTTTACTAGGCTGGGGTTGGGGGGCTGTCCTGACCTTTTACTAGTCTGGGGAGGTAGCTGTCCTGGTCCTTTACTAGGCTGGGGTTGGGGGGCTGTCCTGACCCTTTACTAGTCTGGGGAGGTAGCTGTCCTGGCCCTTTACTAGGCTGGGGTTGGAGGCTGTCCTGATCCTTTACTAGTCTGGGGAGGGGGCTGTCCTGGCCCTCTACTAAGCTTCAGGGGCAGGGGCTGTCCTGATCCTTTACTAGTATAGGGGGCTGTCCTGGCCCTTTACTAGGCTGGGGAGGTACCTGTTCTGGCTCTTAACTAGGCTAGCCCCTTTGCCAACCAGTTTGGGGCAAGGTTGGCCCTGGATGCAAAGGACCTTTACAGAGCAGTGAAGGAGTTAATCACGAGCCCGCAGAAAGCCCACATTGGGGAGTCCTGTTTTCTGGGTCTCTGTTGGAGATCCAGAGAGCTGACTGGCATGGGGGAGGGGACAGTGAGGCTGTGACGGTCGGCCCCCCACCCGGCGTCCATGGGACCCCAGTTCAAGCGAGGGCTGAGGCAGATCGCAGCAGCTCTGACTCTCCACGGTGCAAGCCCCCTCGGACCCCCTGCCGGAGCATCCCATCCTCCACCTGACACAGCCAGAGCCACTGCAGAGGCCACCCCCAGCGGGGACTGCGGCAGCCCCGCCCCTTACCAGCGAGGGCGGGGTATGTGGATGAGATCCGGTGGAGGGTCGATGATCCGCCTGGCGCCTCCACCCCTCCGTGTGCCGAGGTGCGGCGAAAACCCCGCGGCATCATGCGGGGCCGCTTTAGACACCCTGCCACACAGAATGGCCCCTCACCACACACAGTCACCGGCAGCGCACAGGCCTCAGCTGCCGGTGCACCCCCCCAGAAAGGTGCCAATGTCCCAGAGGGACACTGCCTCTAGCGCGCAAAGTGCCAAGAACGTCCGCAGAGCACCCAGTCTTCCTCAAGCCCCTCCTCCCGCCAGGGACCACAGCTCTCTGCCAGTGCCTGCCCTCCCTCATCCCGAGTTCGGTCCCCAGGTGGCCGCTATCCCCCTCCACCCCGTCGGACACAGGCAGCGCACCCCTCCCCCTTGGGCGACACTGCGGCAGGCGGCGGGGGAGGTAGGCGCGCAAGGGGCCTTAGGGGAGCCGCAGGGGGGCGGGCCCAGCAGACACCGGAGGGGGTGCTCAGAAACGGGCGGCCAGCGGGGAGCGGGTGCGGTGACCAGCAGACAGCCGGGGGGGCGGGGGCCCGCGGTGCGCGCGGCGGCGGCGGCGGCACGTTGCCATGGCGGCTGGGCGCGCGTAGCCGCCCGGAGCTGGAGTCGGAGCCTAGCGAGCCGGCGTTGCAGAGGCGGCGGCCAAGCAGGCGGGAGGGGCTGCGGGAGGCAACGACCCCGGCCCGGCAGAACGCGGACGGAGGGCGCCCTGATCCCCGAACCCCCAGCCCGGCTCCTGCGGCAGCCACGGCGCTCGGCCCCACGCACAGGATGCAGGCCTTGGAGCCGGCCACGGCGGGCTTCTATGAGGAGGACGGTAGAGACCTGGACTTCTACGACTTCGAACCGCTGCCCACTCTGCCGGAGGACGAGGTGAGCCCCCAGCCGGCGGTGGGGCTCTTACCTTGCCAGGGAGAGCCCCGGAGCGGATCAGGGAGGGGTGGGGGTGTTCCTCTTCCCCAGGCCCTTTGCCCTCTATCTCGGCCGCGCAGTGAGGGGGAGTCCCATATCTGTTCTCACCCCCACCCCCACCTCTGGGCCTGTACCGTTTTCCCGTGAAATCACAGAACCCTTGGAATGCTGTAGGGACAGAGTCGGTGAACTGCATTTCCACAAGTTGGGCCCCCAGGGCGGTGGGCTCCTAATGATGAATGTGGGTGCCAGGACGTGGAGACGGTGACTTGGAGGACAGTGACATTGGGGTCAGTGTTTACTGCCCCCTGTGTAGCAAACTGGGGGGCCAACAGGAGGCACAGGGCAACAGCAGAATGGTGGGGTGCCATTCAGGAACTGGGTGCTGGGGGGACAGAACTGCCCAGGGCCAGGGGCTGCTTTCTGCTGAGGGGTGGGGGACACCGGGCCTTCCCCCAGGAGGCCTGCACTCAGAGGCAGCCCGCGGGGCTGGAACAGCCCAGAGGGCTCCAGCCTCCTCCGTCATACTGGGCACTTGTCCAGTCCCTGGGCCAAGTGCCCACAGTCCAGCATGTGTGACTGTGGTGGAGCCTCTTCCCACTGGGCCTGAGTCTGTCCTGTACCCGGCTCCAGTGTCCCCAAAATGCCTCACAGACTGTGGGCTGGGGTCAAATTAATAAACTCATGGTCCGTGAGCAGGCCGGAGGGGTTGTGGAAGGGAGTGACCGATGAGCGGGGAACCCCAGAAGACCCAGCAGTCACACAGGCCGTGGGGTCTGTGTTCGAGGGCCTGCCCAGCCCCCACAGCAAATGCCCCATCCCCAGCGCCCAGCTGACTGTGGGGAGGGCCGGAATGCTGAGGCTGTGAACGGACCCTGCAAAGCTTCCTCTTGAAATGGCCCTCGGTCAGTGAAGACCCTCGAAATGCTGGTCAGACCAGGCAGGGGCCTGGGGAGAGGGGCCAGCTGGTTCCTGGCCCAGCAAATCCCAGGGCTGAGTGCCCCCCACCCACGCCGCTCCTAGCCCCACACTCCTCTAAGAGACAGCTCCTCAGGGTCCCAGGGTTTCATGCTATAAAAGCTTAATTTTTCTGGGTACGAGCTGGAACCTGTTTGGTGAGCCTGCCGTCCTCCACCCAGCCTGATGCCAGGCGGGGGGAAGTCGGCGCTGCCCCCGCCCCCACGGTGGCCTGATTTGCCATGAGGGAGGAGAGGCGAGGGTTTGGCGTGAAGTAGGAGAGGCGAAGGTTTGGCGTGAGGGAGGAGAGGCGAAGGTTTGGCGTGACGGAGAAGAGGCGAAGGAACAAACAGAACTTTGGTTGCCTCCAGGCTTTGATGGAAAGGGGAGGGTGAACCCAGCCCACAGCCTTCAAAACCTCCCCTAGACGGTCGGTTTCACTTTACCTGTTAGCCAATTCCTTCATACCCTGCTCCCACGGTGTAAATGAGCCCTGGTGTTCACAGAACTGCTCTACACAGTGGTCCTGGGCTTGAGCCCCCTCTGTGCCCAACATAGGGGTTCCATGGCTGGTGACCATGTATATGGCAGGCCAGTGCCAGGACTTGAACCCAAGCCCATCTGACCCAGAGCCTGTGGCCCACCCTGCCACCATTCCCGGATGCCCTCTGTTGGTGGGAATGTTCCCTGCAGCTGCCCAGTGAGGGGCAAGTCCACCATCCCCTGGGACTATAGCCAGTGCCCCAGGGAACTGTGACTCCACTGTTTGAATAGTGCGCATGCGTAAGGTCAGGGGGCCTCACCCCGTCCCGTTGGAGTAGCACCGGCGCGTAAGTTCAGGGGGCCTCACCCCCATCCTGTGCCCCCTCTGGAGAAGGCACGTCCATCCTCCTGTGCTCCATGCGCAAGGGTCCATGTATCTTAGAACACCTGCAGCTAGAGACCTCGACTTGCTGGACGAACTCGGCTTCGGATCTAACTTCAGGGCCGCTTGCCTCTGGGCCTGACACATCATGAGGAGTCAGTCTGCACCGGAAAGGCCACCCTGTGTAAGGTGAGGCGAGAGAGGGGGCTGCAGTGCCATCCCCAGTGGTCAGTGCTGAGGAACTCCCCCCACCCAGACAGCCAGGACAACCGAGGTCAAAGGGCAGCTCCTGGAATGGATGGAGGGCACCAGACCAGGACACGGAGAAACCGCCCAAGACAGAAGAATGCACTGGAACAGCGTTCTGTGGTGAAGTGAGGCCAAGAAACAGACCCTCAGACCCTGCGAGGCCCCTGGAGTGCCCTCCCTCACCGCGTCCCCAGAGAAAACCCAGATCACCAGTGAACATATGAGATGTTTCACCCCATTATAATCGGGGGGATGCAGGATGCACCTACAGTGAGCACCATGGCACCACCAACAGGCTGGTAAGAATGAGCAGGCTGGACAAGGCCCGTGCTGGCACACACTGAGCAGTGGCCACCCTTGCTCGCTGATGCCGGGAGTGTGAGCTGGAACAGCCTCTGGGAAAACAGCTTGGCATCAGACAGCAAAGTCGAAGGTGCCCCCATTCCATGTCCCAGCAGTCTCCCTTCTGGGCTCACACCCCAGAGACACTTGTGCATGGGTGGACGACCTGCATGAGGAAGCTCCAGGTTGTCCCCTTGCCCACCGCCCAGCCACCTGCAGCAGTGCCACTAGGACTGCAGTGCCCAGTGGAGAAGAGATGGTTCTGCTGGGCTCTGGTCGGAGCGGGCTTTCTTGAAGAGGTGCCCGGGCCTTGGATTCACACGGGACTTCAGCTTCCATTATGGGATGTGGAACCAGGGCTGGACAGCGTAATCAGGGTGGAGGACAGATGAGGCAGCACCAGGCAGCCGTGGTCGGTGGAATCAGCCTTGCTGCTGCCCTGTTGGGGGCCAGGGGCAGCACTGGCCTGCAGGGGGTCCCAAGGAGGGCAGTTAGAGAGGAGGACACAACAGTCAGGGCATGCTCTATCCCCGGCTCCCCAGGCCAGCTGTGCTCTATTAAGCCCACGTTGGGTGGGCAGCCCTGCACCTTCTGTGGGCCAGGCACTAGTCCCAGCAGGTTGAAGGTGAGTGGGACCCTATCCCTGTCCTAGAGGAGCGCGCAGCCCCTCCCCCAGGGGGCATCCTATGGAGAAGTGGATATTCCCACTGTGCCCGACAGGGGTATGTACAAGTCCTTACAGAAGGGAGCCGGGGGGGTGGGGCGCCTGGAGAGTCAGGAGAGCTTTGTGGGGTGGGGGGGCAATGTTTAAACCTCCCTTACAAAATGAGTTGAAGGGGGATGAGCACATCGGGGGCCAGCAGGCAAACCTCCAACAGAGCACCTGGCCGAGCCCCAGGCCTGAGGGGTCTGACCGCATGGAGGTGGCCTCAGCAGCTGCTCTCGGCGGTGGCTCAGCTTCTGTGCTGGCAGGACTCAGCGTGTTCCAAGGTTGCACTACAATAGCTGCTTATAAGCGAGTACATTTGAGTGTGCAGAGTGACCCCTGGCTCCCCAGGGGACCCCGTTCACTGTCTGAGGGAAGGGGCTTTGTGGATGCAGAGACGCCTCACTGGGGTCGCTTGGCCAGAACCACATGACAGTCCTCAGGCGGGAAGCCTGCCCTGCCTTCTGCCCCCCACCCTGGGAACAGCCGGCCCCAAAGGGTCACATATGCCAGACTCCACACACTCCCCTCTTCGCTGGGCTGGGGGAGGGGGCGGGGATGGGGGTCAAGTTTGTGTGCACGATTGCAAGGCCAGTGCTTCTGCCCGTCCTGGCAGGGAATGTGACTGACATGGTCCCCACCTAGACCTACACCTCAGCCGCCACTGCAGCAGCCCCTCACTGGGGACTCGAGGGCCGGGTGGGGGCACGCGGTGCTGGGCTGGATGGAGCAGGGCCTCTGTGCCTGGCAAGGACCGGGGTCTGTGTCCAGCGATGGAGCCTCTGAAGGATGTGGCCCTGACAAGGTCAGTGTTTGGCAGGAGCAGGGCAGAAGGGTGAGAAGCATAATGTCGCTGGCCCTGCAGGCCCTCGTGTGTCCTGGGCATGTGGGCATCTCAGAGGCAGAGCAGGCTGGGTGTGTCTGCCCTCCAGTGTCTGCCATGCCTGGCAAGCCACCTCGAAGCCGTATGGCTGCGTGCGTTTCATCCAGCGTTAAGCTGTCTCTCCCCGTGGACTGTACCTACTGGGCAGCCAGGCTCGGTCAAACGGGTCCTGAGCCGGACCCTTCGGAGGCGAGCAGATATGGGAGCCAGGGACTCTGCTCAGGGTGCCCATGGGGCCTGTCCACCGTGTCGCCGTGGGGTGGGGTGTGTCAGCTGGGACCGTGGTGGCCATGTGGGCTTGAACTATTTCTTCCTGGTCTCCTCCTCTCCCTGGTCTGTGGCCCTTCAGCCAAGGCTCGTCTGACATTCCCGCCTGCAGAGGAGCCTCGCCATGGAGAGCAGGGAAGATGAGAGTCCTGCCTGGGCCAAGCTCGGACCCAGAGAGTGAGGCCCCTAGGCCACGGTTTGTCAGAGGAGCCGCAGCCTTCCTCAGCTCCTTTCTGGAACGTGTGTGAGCTGAACCCGCTTTCCTGCTACCAGACCCCGCTTTCCTGCTACCAGACCCCGGGACTCAAGGGAATCGGGATGGTCCTGTCTCTGAGTGGAGCACCGCCCCACATGGAAATTCACCGTGTGCCTTCAGGCAGAGACCCCCCAGGACTTCCCAGTCTCAGCACTGAGACCCCCCCCCCAATATGCGCGAGCAGGCACAGGGGGCCCGCAGGTCCTAAGCTTTTCTGAGGGGGATGGAGGGTTCCCTTCACCGGAACATTTTCTTGCTACCTCGGGGTGGGCATGTCCACTGCCCTGAGCAGGAGGTGGTGCTGTGGGTGTGAGAGGCCCCTGGGCCGTTTCTGGCCTGGCTGCTTCTGTTGGCTGCATATCCTTGTCAACAGCTGCTCAGGCAGGCAGGCTTCGGAGGTCTGGGCCAGGGCGGTGGGTGTCGTCCAGGGCCAGCAGGTGTGGGCTGGTCGCTGGCAGGAGACGCTTGCACGGGGCTGATTTAGATGCATTCCTGCGCTGGCTTCATTTCTCCGAAACAACACTCACCTACAGGGTTTTCGGGGTTGTTACTATGTCGCTTAAAACTATGCCTCTGTGTGCGTGTGTGTGCAGAGTGCACGTGTGTGTGTTGCGTGTATGTGTGTGCATGTGTGCACAGAGCCAAGGCCCCCTCTACTAGGCCCCATAGCATCCCTGGGGAGAACGGGGCCCTTTCTGGAGTCCTGAAAAGCCCTGGGGATGGCAGAAGGCCCCGGGTTTGACCCAAATGAGAAAGACGTTTTATTAGGAGCCTCGGAACCCAGCAGGGAGATTCAGAGCTCAGTCCTGGGTGTGGCACCCCCGGCCACCCTAGTCTAATTGTATGGGCTTCTTTTTGGTTCTGGTTCTCATTAGAACATGCCTAGCCCACCTCCCTCACAGCACAGTTCTGGATCCGGCTCCAGGCTCGCAGCTCTCAGGGCCTGAAGCCCTTCAGCCTGGAGCCCTGTGGAAGCTCCTTAAACCAGTTTCCAACAAGCTGCCCTGTCTGTATCCATCCTCAACCTCCTCCCCGCACCCCACTCCCCCATACAGAAAGAGCTGGAAGGGCCCGGGCCAGTGGCATCACCCGGCCCGCTCCCTGGGCTCAGAGAAGGAAACCAGGGGTGAGAAGTGCCCGGGTCACATGAGGAGGCAGGCAGGGGGCAGGGCAGACCCAAACCTCCAGCCCTCCACCCATCATTCCACACCCCTGAACCCCAGAAGCTTGGCCAAGATGCACACTGGGGAGCACCCCAGGTTCTATCTGTGTGTTTGTTTCTTTGGTTTAAGCCCTTTGCCCTATACCAACTGTGGAGGGGCTCCCTCGCAACCCAGCAGCAGGGGCATTCAGGGATGGAGGTGGGGGCACCTTTTAGGATCTGACAGCTAGGCTGCTCTTGAAGAACAGTCCTCTGTTGGGTAGAGGGGGGGCCAGTCAGGAGGCAGAACTGGAGGGGAGGGGGAGCTCTGCCTCTCTCCCTCACCACCCCCTACTCTCATCCCTACACCCCCTTCCCCTACTTCTCCCCACACCACTTCTCCTGACTCATCCTGGCACTCCCAGGAAGCCCGACTCCCCTGTAATTCCCATCACCTCCTGTAGGTGGGGACAGTGCACACTGTGTGTGTGTGTGTGTGTGTGTGTGTGTGTGTGAATGCCCGTGTGTGTTGTTTGCATGTGGGAGAGTGTCGTGTCATATGTGAGCGTGAGTGAGTATATGGGCATAGGTGTGTGTGATTGGGCTTGTGTGATGGTGTGTGCACATGTGTGAGTGTGGGTGTAGGTGGCAATGATCATGATCACAGCTCAGATTCTGGAGCGTGAGCACAGGGTGAGGGAGGCCCGGGCGTCCAGCTGTGTACCCTGACTTTGCGTCACCTTGAACTTCCCAGAGCTAGGGTCCAGGCAGCTCAGTACACTGTCCCACGGCACCCGATTTTGTCATACGATTACTCTGTGCACAGCTGTGTCCCTGCAGGTGGGGACTCCACTCCAGAGGCCCCTCACCTGTTCACCTGCCCACACCCTCAGGGTGCTGAGCTGCAGGGAACCTGTGGGGGCCGGGCTGTCCACGTGCTGGCGGACCGGGCTGGGTCTCCGGGCCCCAGGAGCCGACCCCTGTCCGGCGGTGCTGACACCCAGGGAACAGCGAGGTTACTTTTCGGTAAAATAAGTGCCTAAAGCCCTGTTTCGGCACACAAGAGCCATGTTTCCGGGAAGGGTTGGCCTCCATCGTCCGGCTGTGGCGACCCCCTCCCAGCCCATCCCGGCCCCGCCTGTCTTGGCAGGAGAACGTGTCCCTGGCGGACATCCTCTCCCTGCGGGACAGCGGCCTCCGCGAGCAGGAGGCCTGGGCCGTGTGCCTGGAGTGCTGCCTGTCCATGCGGAGCGTCGCCCACTCGGCCATCTTCCAGACCCTCTGCATCACGCCCGACACGCTGGCCTTCAACACGAGCGGGAACGTGTGCTTCATGGAGCAGCTCAGCGGTGAGCAGGGGCGTGGGGAGCGGGGC